GTTACTTTATTACTAGTTACGTTAGTTTACGTTAGTTATTACTTACGTACTATATATTATATATATATATAGTACTATATATATATATATATATATATATATTTGTTTATTTATTTATTTCTATTAATTCGACACCTATAAGAATTGGACATAACCTGGATGTTATGTTAAAATGGTCTATTAAATTAAAATTTAAAATAAAAATGGTTAGTGGTATCTATTTAGATTGAATGCCTGGGAGCAGCTATCATATATGTTTTATATATAGATTGCGCTACGCATAAGGGTTTCTTATAATAACAAGGAAAAAATATATAAAAAATCATAAACTCTTGTTATAAAGAATTCGTACGCACCTTTTGTCATTGAATTTTAAAGTAATACTATATATTTTATATTTTATGATCAAATCTCTCGACAACATAAAGTATACTGCCGAAATACTTTCCATTTTACTACCTCTGGTAAAACCCAATCAATAATTAATTTTAGCCCCAAAATTTGGGTTGTTACCTGTTCAACCCATAGATCAACTTTAATAAAAAAATATTTTTTAATTATACTCTCTATACACTTGAAAAAACAACGCTCAAGATTGAACAAAAACCATTCAATTTTTAGATAGTGAGATCTAAGTATTAGAAAACTCAAATTTCAAAAGTTATTTTTTTTAGAATAATCATCTAATAGTCTTTAAATAGTTTCAAAAATTTCATATTGAAAAAAAAGCTGGCAAGTAGCTCTCCTGATCAAGAGAGTAATGAGGGAGTGTTAAAGGATTGTATACTATAACACCATTCACGTTTGGTACAAAGAAGTCACAAAATCACAATAACTTTAATCCGATACATTGAAATTTTATTTTTGAATTTTGTGCATGATCAATAACACATCCTCAACCACAAAATTACACATCTATATGTCAATAATGACAACGGCCTCCTTATATTAAAAGGTCAATGATGTTAACGTAAACATATCTATATTTTTAATTGTCTCTTTTGCTATATCATGGGATTAATTAGCACGATTAATGATGGTAATTGAAAAAAAACAAAAAAAAAAGGCCGATTAATTAACAGGAATGCCTTAAGCCCTTAAGAGATGCGATTAGCACGATTGCCTTAACTGATACGTACGCTACAAATCCTGTCTATGGTGTATATGCTGCCACAATCGATAATCATTCCTATCTCTATCCAAAAACCTTCTCATCTCTCTCTCTCTCTCTATTAAGCAAACACTCACTTTCTCTCTCCACCAAACACTTTTAGGATAGCACTCTCTCTCTTACAGAGGACACAGGAGCGCAAAATTTTCCACCCATGGCTTCTGTTTCTCTCTCCAAACCTTCAGTTCTTCCCCCTCCTTCCAACCCCAAAAGCCCATCATCTTTACAAACCCCTTTCCTCTCTCTAAAATCCCCAAACTCCCCACTGTTTGGTTTTAAATTGTCCACCCACCAACATTTTCCCTCTTCGCCATTGCCCAGGACCACCATTTTTGCCAAGGTAATGAGCTCAATTCCATGTCTCAAACCCCAATTGATTTCTGGTACATTTGGTCTGAAGTTTTGTGAAAATCTCTGAAAATGGTGGATTTCTGGTTCTTTTAGGTATCAAAAGGTGGGGTTGCCCCTTCTTTTACACTCAAGGATCAGGATGGAAGAAATGTGAGCCTCTCAAAATTCAAAGGGAAACCAGTTGTGGTTTACTTTTACCCTGCTGATGAGACCCCCGGGTGCACCAAAGAGGTTAATATTTTTTCTTTTTTTTTCATAGTTTTTTTTTTTAATGTTTTTACTAGTTGGATATTTGGGACACACTCTTTTTTAATTTGTATTTTTAATTTTCTGGTTCTCATTATTTTCTTTTGTTTTTGTGGGGCAAAGAGATTTGTTTTTCTGTTTTCATGATTTTATCTTGGGGAAATAGAGCAATTTTTGGTGTGGTGTTGCAGGCATGTGCATTTAGAGATTCTTATGAGAAGTTCAAGAAGGCAGGTGCTGAAGTTGTTGGCATTAGTGGAGATGATCCCTCTTCCCACAAGGTAACCCCTCAACTGTAAATCTGAAAGTGTGTCACAATATTCAATTTATTTTGGACATTATGCCCAAACAAGTACACATTTTCAAATTTCATGGTCAATAATAATTGTGGCCCTGCGTATCACAAGTAAATTGTCTCATTATATATATATTTTTTATAATAATAATAATAATAATGATAAAAATATAAATTTTTTATACTTCTCCTACAACATAAAACTTATATACTTCCCCTACACTATTACTTTGTTTTTAATTTTTTTTCTATAAACTATTTTGACACCAAAGTTTGGACGTACAATCCTCCATTAAACTTGCACTAGCGAAAAGTATAAAGTAAATATTTCAATAAAATAAAATAATCAAAATACAATTGAAAGATTCAAAAGATATTTTGGTCGTTATATTTTATTGAAAAATTATTTTTAATATTTTTTATAGACGCGTCCGATGATGCATATCAAATTTCATATCCATACAATTTGTATAAATAAAACTAAAAATAAAATACTTTGAGACGTGATATCTATGATCAATCGGTGAGTGGCTCTCTTGATCAAAATTAGACGGTTGGATGGTAAGGGAAACATGGATATTTAGGAGAAATGTAGAAACTTTTCCATAAAAAAAAAAAAAAAGAAAAAAAAAAAAAAAAAAAGAATAAAGAAAGAGAGAAGAGGGAAGTAAGAATAATTTTCTCCTAAAACTCTTCAAGAATCTCTAATTTGTTTTAGAAGATCTTCTCATTTTCCCCAGGACTTCTCATTTCCCAATCATGAGTATCTAAGGATTGGTGTTCTCTATAGTATACGCATTGTGTGTATAGGTATACCAATGTCCAGGGGGCATGGACCTTCCAAGGGGTATCAATGGCTGATATATCTCCAATGGTGGATGCCTCTGTGCATATATGAGAGACAGTTTCTAGTGTCTATCCTTCCAGGATGGTGGGTAGCTGGCTGGACGGCCCTGATTGCATTATTGGAGTCGATTTGGACGGCCAGCATTCTCCAAACACAGCGGATGAATTTTGTCCAATTCTCTTATGCGCGTTTATTTTTTGGGTTGTTATTGCGGCCACAGCATGTGGATGCTTAAAAGGTGCGTGTGCACCTTTTAATGGTTCAGATTGAACCATGCTCATCCAAGGGCTAATAATGAATCTCCTTTTTAATTTTTATTTAAAAATGATATTAATTTGAAATTTTGGTTTTAAGTTCATTTCTATAAGTAAGATTGAATAAAACTATTACAAAAATATTTTAAATAAAAAATATTGTCCAAAATAAATTTAGAGGTATTTTAATTATTTTTTATTTAAAATATTTTTTAATCATTTTGATGAAGTTTTATTTATAAAATAAACATGTACTAAATTTTTCTGATAAGTATAATGTTTAAATAAAAATAAAAAATGAAATATGAGAATAATTTTCGGCCCTTGGATATGGCCATATGAGAATTCACTGGAACCTTCCACCTTTTTGCTTGCAATTGAAGCCGTGCACGTGTGTCTTAATTTTAGATCCTAATCACCTCAAAAAAAGAAAAAAGAAAAAAATAAGAGTATTCACTATTATGCTGAGAATTAAAAAAAGAAAATGATAATATAGGACCCTCTTCCACTTATACGTAAGATCTCAAATGATCACTATTAAATTTGGTACAGATCTATGAAAAAATTAAGCTTCATACCTATGTGATAATTTTTTTAGAGATTCGTATCAATTTTAATGATAATCCTTTGAGGTTTTATGGTTGGGGGATGGTCCTACACAATCATTACTCATTAAAAAATAGTCTTCTATATTTTGTATTTTATAAACGTGATCGAATATGGATTTCAAGTTTGAAAAATAGTGCATCTTGTAATGCATATATGGGTCGTCAATTCTCAATATTTTCAAGTGTTTATAGACTTATTCGATGTACATTATTTTTTAAGCTTTAAATTTTATAATTAGAAATAAAAATAAATTTTTAGGGGATCGCAAAGATTTTTGCTATTGAAAAATCACGATTTGACACTAGAAATGCTTTTACTTTGACGTTTTAGGGCCTCAACCTTATGGAAACCAGACACTATAATATATTTTGATTTTATTCTTTTATAAATTGGATTGAGTTCAAAATTTTACGTTTGTTCTTCTCCATCAAATACCTATGAAAAGTATTTTAAAAATTAATTTAAAATCAACAAAATTACTGAAATACCCCTGAATGTTATAGGGGTATTTTGGTTGTTTATTAATTTCAGATTATTTTTGAAAAATTTATCAAAATACATGTAAGAACTATTTAACTCATTCCTAGTCAATGTCATGTGAATTTTGATGGGCATTGTAAAAATAAATCCAATACCATGGGTCGAATATCAAATAGTTCATTTCTCATGAGTATTTAGATGATTTTTCTATTTGTAAATTTTGTTTTAGTTGTGATGGTAAGGAGTGTTTTAAAACCCAGATCGGCCAGGTGAATTGGTCATCTGGGACACCAATTCGGATTGGCGATCCACCCGAATCTCTAGAGTGAGAATAGGTCAATAAAAAAACAAAAAATAAAATAAAAAAACACAAAAAATAGTAAAAGAAACATATAAATCATGGGGACTCACGACTGATGAAAGTGAATGATTCTATGGGAACTAGCATGATTCCTAGCTCCGACTAGGAAGTGAGTCAGTTTCCGCCAATTCTTGATTCAGATTGCTGATTTCCTATCCAGATTGGCGGTTTTGAGTCACTATTGAGAGCATGCCAAAATTTGAACTTAATCTAGTGTATGCAAAAAAAGATAAAATCGAATACATTATATACTTCAAAAAATGGGAGTTGATTGTAACATAAAAAATAGAAGGAACTATTTTACAATTCCTACAATAAAACATGACTTATAAATTTCCAAAAAAAATATGTGAAAGCAAAATATGAACACGCAACGCAGAACTTCGCAATAGCCACATATTTCGTGAACATGCCCAACAATGCTACAACCATATTCCCATTTTGTATCTAGAGCGCACCTTCAAATAGTGTTGAGAAATGTGGTTTCAACACTGGAAATCTTTGCGATAGCCTTAATAAATATTTTTATCTCTAATTATAAAATTTAAAGCTAAAAAAATAGTGTAGATTGAGCAAATCTATAAAAACTTGAAAATCTTAAAAATTGACTGTCAAAAAATACAAAATACAATATGCATTATTTCCAAAACTTAAAATTCATTTTGTTCTCATGTCCATGCATCTTGATGTCGAGATGATTAATTTGAAGATATTAGGACATCAAAACAATCTCTTCTAGTGAAATATTTGAGATGGGCTCTATATAAACTTTTTCCTTAAATTTAAGGAACGGTGTGGAGGTTCGTGCAGATGAGGCGATCGTTAAATGCTTCAAAGGTTTGGTTAGTGGCTTGGAGTAGTAAACAATATAATACAATCCCTATGAGACACAATTATTTTTGATTTAAGGAAGTTACGTTCATTTTTAGCCATTAGATGTGAAGTCCGATAGGTGAAACTATCACAACTTAGAGAAATTTTATTTTGGACTTTGTGTTCAAATAATGACATATCTTCAATCATTTGATTTTCAAATCTAATGGTTAATAATGATTGCCACTTTATTGTATAAAAAATAAATGGCCTCATTATATACATTTCCAATACCATATGTGCACATATTTTATGATCCTGTGGTATATGCTTTTTTTTATTTTTTGAACTATGGATTCTTGCAAAATAAAAGTTTTATTTTTCTCTTTTGAAAATACTCTTCAGGCATATATATATATATATATATATATTTCCAAATGGGTTTTCATACAATAGAGTAAACCTAAAATATGGTACTATGGGTATCTAACTTTGTATTCTCCTTCACTTCTTTGCCGCCATGTCAGCGTGTCGCTTGGGCAACATGTCATGCGATCGTTGGACCACATTAGTTAGTGGAAATGTATACAAATGAAACTGTTTACTTTTAATACAAGAAGGTAAAATGTCAGATTGTATATAATGCGCCGCCTGATTTCACATCCAACTAATTACAACCTCGAGGCAAAGTATCTGATTGTATCCTTTTCAATATAACATTTTAAAAATCATTGGTTTGATTTAATATGAGGCCTTATACTTTGCCTTGAATGCCTTTTGTTTTTTTTTGTTTTTTTTTTTTGCCTCTCCTTGTTAGCCACCAGCATCCTTAAAAAATAAAAAATCTAGTTTGAGTCCCGCTTACAGACTCTCAAATTACACCTGAACAACCTTGGGCCATCGAAACCTAGATATACAAAAGAAAGATTTGCATATTCCAAGGTCGCAAGCGACTCATTAATGTACACAATACTCCTGTGTGGCAACATCTTTTGTAATATTGGGCCTTGTTTGGGTGCCTCCTCTTTTAGCTGGAATCATAGAATCACTTTGTTGTTGCGCTTGAGTGGGTGATGTGTTCGCTTGCCATGCTATTATTCACGCTGCAACTTAACTTTTGGAAAATTGTTTATCCTTAAAATGTTGCCGGGTACCATTTTCCCCCCAATGATAAAACTAAAAATGCATGTTTTATCACTCTAGCTAAAGTATTGGATAATGTTCCACTTGATTATAACAATTTAAGAGTGGCTATTTTCATAATGGGTCAAGATTTGATGCAACCGTTGTATAGTAATAGGATGCAATAACTTTAAAAAACCATCTTATGGCCATTTATTTGATCCAAATTTTGAAATATACATTTTTTTTCATTCTAATGAACAATCACAAAAAAAGAAAAAAAAATTGAAAACACAACCTAGAAAGTATTTTTTTAGCCCAATTAACATAGACCGTTCATTTTGATAAGATGCTTAGATCTAGGCCTTAGAAGGATTTTTTTCATTTCCAAATTTTTTGGATGGCTTTATTATCATTAGATGAACAATGTTAAGGAAAGAAAAAAATGATTTTGAGTTTATAAAGGCTGAGATCTTGAAATTCACAAAATAAATGGTCTA